GGCCCACTTTCAGCCCATTTTTGGCGCAAATTGGCCCACTATCGGCGCAAATTGACCAATTTCGGCCCATATTCGACGTGCTTCGGCACAAATTCAATAGAAGCTATTTTTATCACATAGTTCATCATAGAAAATCATTACAAATCAAATAGTTCAACAAATCAATACAAATCATATAGTTCAACAAATAAAAACTCATATTTCATCACACGTCGAGCTAGGCGTTGCCCTTGAGCCTCCATAGGTGCTCCACCAGATCCTGCTGCAGTTGTTGATGCACCTGTGAGTCTCGGATCACCTGACGCATATTGAGTAAGGCATTCTAGGTTGCCGGTAGCTGGTGATCAGCTTGGGCAAGGGGACCCTGCCTGTAATATGGTTCACTATCAAACACTAGCTCTTCCTGCTCGCTCTCAGTGATCATGTTGTGCAAGATGACACAGCAAGTCATGACCCCCCACAATCTTTCGACCAAGTGTGAGCGAGGTATCGGACAACAGCAAATCGGTATTGGAGAACACCAAATGCCCGCTCGACATCCTTCCTGCAAGTCTCCTGATACTTGGTAAAGTGTGAGTTCTTGCCTCTTGGCACAGGGTTTGAGATAGTCTTCACAAATGCAGACCATCTTGGATAGATGCCATCTGCTAGGTAGTTTCCCTTATTGTAGTGCCGCCCATTGACCTCGAAGTTCACTGGAGGAGAATGGCCTTCAACAAGCTTGGAAAAGACAGGGGAGCACTGCAGTACGTTGATGTCATTGTGAGTTCCTGGCATACCAAAGAAGGAGCGTCAAATCCAGAGGTCGTGTGTGGCCAGTGCCTCAAGTACCACACTGCAACCACCTTTGGCGCTTTTGTACATCCCTTGCCAAGCAAATGGACAGTTTTTCCATTTCCAATGCATGCAGTCGATGCTTCCAAGCATCCCAGGAAATCCTCTTGCTGCATTCTGTGCTAGGATCCGAGCAGTGTCTTCAGCATTTGGTGATCGCAAGTATTGCGGTCCAAACACTATCACCACTGCCCTACAGAACTTGTACAAACACTCAATGGTCGTGGACTCGGCCATGCGTCCATAGTCTTCGAGTGAATCATCGGGAGCTCCGTATGCAAGCATCCTCATAGCTGTCGTGCACTTCTGGAGTGAGGTGAATCCAAGTGTGCTGGTGTAATCCTTCTTGCACTTGAAGTAGCTGTCGAACTCACGGATAGAATTCACAATCCTGAGGAAGCGCTTTCGGCTCATCCGATAACGGCGCCGAAATACTTTCTCGCGGTGCAGTGGAGCATCGGCGAAGTAGTCGGAGTAGAGCAAGCAATAGCCTTCCAGTCGATGCCTTTGCTTAGCCTTCAGCCGGCCCGGCGCCGAGCCACCTCGTCACGGCCTTGCATTGCTCGCGAACAGGCCGGCCAGAGCGGCGAGGACCATGAGATGCTCTTCGTCCTGGGCGTCGGCATCGGCTTCCTCCTCCAACAGCGCCGCAAACGCCTCCTCGTCGTCCAAGTCCATCGCCGAGCACACAAATCGCCGAACACCTGGCAGGCGTGGTAGGCGTGCAGCCGCCGGTATTCCCGCCCTGTGTGGCCACAGCACCGGAAAGCTCGCCTAGGAGCGAGATGGAGGCTGCCGCAGCGGAACACCCTCTTTTCCGGCAGGGGAATGGCCTTTCTAGCGGCGGTGGATGGGTAGGCGACGCCGGGATCGGCACGGCAGCGGTAGGGCATGTGCGCGGGAGGGGGTCAATCTGAAAGTGCAAGATGCTTTTCCACCTGACACTGATGGCCCAGGCGCGGTTTTTCCTTCCGCCAGGGCCCCCAAGCG